TTTTATGAATTTTATATCTCAATCTTGTTCAGTTCACTAATTTTAGTTATTTCTTTTTCTGCTACCTTTAGAGTTGGTTTTTTTCTTTTTCTTTTTCCTAGGTGCAAAGTTAATTTATGATATCTTTAACTTCTTGAAGAAGGCATTTAGTGCTATAAACTTTCCTCTTAACACTGCCTTAGCTTCATTCCCGAGATTTTAGTAAGTTGTGTCCCTATTTAATTTCAAAGTTTTTTAAATTTCTGCCTTAATTTCAATGTTCACCCAGGAGCTATTCAGGAGCAAGTTGTTTAATTTCCATATATTTGTATAGTTTTGAGAGATCTTCTTAGTATTGCTTTCTATTTTTATTGTACTGTAGTCTGAGAGTGTGCTGGGTATGAAATCAATTTTTTTGAGTTTATTAAGAGTTTATGAGTGAGCGTGTGGTTGATCTTAGAATATATTCTGTATACAGATCAGAAGAGTGTTCTCATCTTCTGATCTCATCTTCTGATCTCTTATCTTCTGATCTCATAGTCTGTGATTGTTAGGTGGGGTGTTCTCTAGATGTCTAGTAGTCCAGTTGATCAAGTGTTGAGTTTAAGTCCAGAGTTTCTTTGTGAGTTTTCTGCCTCAATAATCTGTTTAGTCCTGTCAGTGGGGTGTTGTAATCTCTCACTATTATTGTGTGGCTAAGTCTTTTCATATATTAAGAGGAACTTGTTTTATGAATCTAGGTGCTCTAATGTTGAATGTGTATATATTTAGGATAGTTAAGTCTTCTTGTTGGATCACAGCCTTTATCATTATGTAATGCCCTTCTTTGTCCCTCTTGTTATTGATTTAAAGTCTGTTTTATCTGATGTAAGAATAACAACTCCTGCTCTTTTTTGTTTTCTGTTTGCATGGTAGATCTTTCTTTACTCCTTTACTTTGAGCCTATGGGGGTCATTACGTGTGAGATGGGTCTCTTGAAGACAGCAGAGAGTTGGGGTCATGTCTTTATCCATCTTGGCATTATATATTTCTTTGAAGTGAGGCTTTTAGCCCATTTTGATTCAGGATTAGTATCGGTATTTGAGATTTTGACCTTGTCACCACATTGTTAGCTGGGTATTATGTAGACTTGTGTATTTCCTTTATAGTATCTGTGGGCTATGTGCTTAAGTGTGTTTTGTGGTAGCAGGTGCTGTTATTTCAATTCCATGTTTAGTACTCCCTTAAAGACCTCTTTTAAGGCTGGTCAAGTTGAAATGCATTTCATCAGCATTTGCTTGTCTAAGAACAATTTTATTTCTCCTTCACTTATGAAGCTTAGTTTAGTGGTATATGAAATTCTTTGTTGAAATTTCTTTGGGATGCTAAAAATTGGCCCCCAATCTCTTCTTGCTTACAAGGTTTCTCCTGAGAGGGTCCACTGCTAGCTTTACAAGGTTCCCCCATATATGACCTGACCCTCCTTACTAGCTGCCTTTAAGACTTTTTCAGTGACCATGGTGTATCTGATGACCATGTGCCTTGGGGATGGTCATCTTGTATAGTTTCCAGATGGAGTTCTCTGTATTTTGTGAGTTAGCATGTAAATCTCTCTAGTGAGATTAGGGAAGTGTTCATGTACTATATCCTAATATATTTTTCAAGTTGCTTATTCTCTTTCCTTCTCTTTCAGAGATGCCAATGTGTCATAGATTTTGTCTCTTTACATAATCCCATATTTCTCAGAGGTTTTCTTAATTTTTTCCAGTTTTTCTTTATTTTTGTCTGATTCAAAAAAACAATCTTCAAACTCTGAGATTCTTTCCTCAACTTGTTCTATTCTGCTAATAATTCCAATTGTATTATGAAATCCTTATAGTGAATTTTTTAGTTATAAAAGTTCAGTTTGTTTCTTTCCTAAAATGGCTATTTTGTCTTTCCAGTCTTGGATTGTTTTACTGGATTGCTTGGATTCCTTGGATTGGGTTTCAACTTTTTTCTGAATCCCAGTGAGCTTTTTGCCACCCAGATTCTGAATTCTATGTCTGTCATTTCAGTCATTTCAGACTGGTTAAAAACCATTACTGGATAGCTAGTGGATTTCTTTGGAGGTAAGGGGACACTGTTGCTTTTTGAATTGCTGAAGTTCTTGTGCTGATTCTTTCTTGTCTGGGAAGGTTGAATGTTACTTTAGCTATGATGTAAGTTGAGTATAGTCATTTCTGTATGTTTCCAGAGGGCTAAGGCTCTGTTCAGGGTCTTTATTTGTGGTTGAATTCTTGCCCTTGGTTTCAGCAGGTGGTATATTAGCAAAATATTTTTGGTATTGTAGTTTGGACTGTGATTCAGGAGATAGTGCTTAAGAGTAACGGTTGGTAGATAGGCACTTGGGTGTGCAGCTCTTTTGTCTGTCCTCACATTTGTAGCAGTGCTCTGCAGTATGGGATGTGCTGGGAGAGAGGTGACTCCACTACCAGGACTTTTCCTGGGCCTTAGGGGAGCTCCCTCTGGTCACTGATACCATGCCCACATTTCTTTTGTTAGGTGTTCTGAGCCACAGGGATTCATCCAGCAGAGGCCATGGCAGAGAGATAAGCCACACCTTTTTTCAGACTGTCACTGCAAAGGGAGGTATGTCCTGCTCCTTTGCCAGCCCAAGAACCCACACATCTTACCCTTCTTAGTGCTCTGAGAATGTGGGCTTCTCCACTACTTGAGTGCAGGCCAATGATCTTGGTTCAGCACAGCTGAACTATGCGCTGTAGTCCTGGGGAGCCAGGACTGACTCATGGCTCCATCCTGTGGACCCCTGGGCTTGGGTTCTGGGTGCACTAGGGTATCTGAAGTGCTTCCAGGCCACAAGCAATGCACTCAGGTGGAGCAAAATACCCAGGTTTGGTAAAGAAAATGTGACACATATACAGCATGAAATAGTTGCAGTCATAAAAAAGGATGAGTTCATGTCCTTTGCAGGGACATTATGAAGTTGGAAACCATCATTCTCAGCAAACTAATACAAGAACAGAAAACCAAACACTGCATGTTCTCACTCATAAGTGGGAGCTGAACAATGAGAACGCATGGACACAGGGAGAGGAACATCATACACTGGGGCCTGTCAGGGGGTGGGGGGCTAGGGGAGGGATAGCATTAGGAGAAATGTAGATGAGAGGTTGATGAGTGCAGCAAACCACCATGGCACATGTATACCTATATAACAAACCTGCATGTTCTACATACGTACTCCAGAACTTAGAGTATTATAATAATAAAAAAAAGAAAACATACTGAAGATATATTTTAAATGTAACTAACATTTTGATTTTATTTTTACTTTTCATTTTAAAACTCAGTCACTCAGAATTAAGTTAATTTTAATTCCTGCTTCATGTCCATTCACTTATTATTTATTCAGATATAGCCATTTTGATTTATTTATTCATTACTAATTATTTATTTTAATAACGGAATAAAGATTCCATTATTTGGGTAGTGACACAAAGCCACTGCACAAAACAAAAGCTAGGACTCTATCAACAGCCCATATCAAGACTTCCATTTCCCCCAACATTCCATCCTTCTCTTTCCTCTCACCCAAAAGGTGCATCTCTAAGAATCTTATGTTTATTGTTTCTCTTATCTCATTTTATTGTAATTATTTTTCTAAAGAATATACAAACATATATATAGTACTGTTCTTTTAATTGTATAAAACTGTCAGGCTCTGTATAATTTTTGGAATTTCTGTCCTTTAACATTGTATTGCTAAAATTATATTGTTACTTGAAACTATATGGCACTAATTTTGACTCCTATATAATATTAAATTAGTGAATATATTACAGTTTATTTTTATACTGGTTTTGGATATTTGGATTGGTTCAAGGTTTTGTTAATATGAATAGTGTCACTATAAACATTTTTTACATATCTTCTGTTGTACATGTGTAAAAATTTCTCTTAGTTTTATACCTTACCATGGAAGTGCTAGAGTTTACAAATATTCAATTTTAGTGGAAAAAAAAGTCAAATTTTTCCAAAGTGGTTGCTCTAATCGGTAACATGTAAAAGAGCCAATAGATTCACATTTGGTATTATAAGATTTTTAGGCATTTGGAATCCAGTGGGGGTAAAATGGTTCTATATTATTATCTTAATAAATATTATTTAAAAATAGAAACTTTCCTCCATTTCTAATTTGGTCAGATAAACTGTATATTTAAAACTAATTACAAAACTATTTATGTCCTTTTTCTGACTCTTGTGTCATTCCATGATATGGTCATGGTCATGCTCAGTACTCTGATATACAGTCATTATGGCCAATGTGTTCTCTGCTGTAATCCCACTTCCCTAGACAGAATGTCAGGGAGTGAGATCATGGATTTACTGTAAGCTTTCCAGCCATTCATTCTTTCTTACTATAGACATCTCATCTCATCCCAAATGATTTTTTAAAGATATCTAAGAAATTTCCATTGACTACTTAAGTTTGAAAAAGATTGTATTAAAAGTACTGTGCTACATGGACACATTTACAAACACAGTCATAAGAGTGCAATGGTCTGTAGAGAGCTGGCCCAAGTGACTAAGTATTTTTTAAAATCCATTCAATTCGATTTCTGGATTTTCATGTTTCTTTCTTATAAGACATTAAGTTACCTAATTTAAATGCAAAGCCACATTTAAGGTGATTCTCAGACATCTGAAGAGAAGAACTGATGAATATTCTTTAAATCAGGAGATAGAAAAGGCAGGAGAGAAATCCTAGTGCAAAGCTCTACCTCAGCAAAAGCAAGGTAAGTGTGATGATGACTCATGGGTTTATTGTTGTTTGTTAAGATACAAGGAATTTCCCGGAGGAAAGAAAAATGAGAATTATCGTAAACATAAGACGGAAGCATACAGATGTGATCCTGAAACCTTCCCTCCCACCCCTCATTAACCTGAATGCAGTACAACAAAGTGAGTTTATATGCCTTCTTCATGGAATCACAACTTTCATTCTGGTTAAAGATACTTAAAAGCATCAGACATCTCTAAGAGAGCTTAGCTGAAACTCTTTATGTATTTCTGATTGCAACGTATTTGGCCATTATGAACCAAGATAGATGATCTATTTCCTAAACTGATACTGAATTGTCTAAATTGCTAACAAGAAATCCTTTCATAACAGTACAGTTTTTAACCTTTACTTTCCTTATTCATCTTTAATTCCTTGCTACTTCCCATTGAATTGAAATGTTTATATTAAAACAAAACACCCACCGGAATTCTGAAGAAATTGGCTCACCCATCTTTCAAACTACAAGATATTTTTTGACAGTATACAATATTCATTATAATGGAATAAACATTTTAATATCTTAAGGATGTTGACTCTAATTTTCCTTAAAGGGGATGTTTACAACTTATTATTATAAATGCTGCCACTCAATCATAGGAGAAAATGATACTAAAATAGTTCAAGGCTAAAATCACACATAGGGCAATTGTTCTCGAATATTTATAAGGCCACGAACTCACTTATGTATAACCTATAAACTTGAAGAATTTATGAACCAATATAGTGGCAAGGAAAGCTAACAACCTAACAGTAAGATCTATGGCCATTACTTTTCATTTAGTCCTAGAAATATATTTCCTTTCTTTAATGAATCAATATGGTCCATTTCAAAGAGAAACAAGTGGAACTGAAAAACACCAAATTATAGTTGACCACTTCTAAAGCAAGTGCTGATGGAAGAAGCAAAATTTCCCATTTAAAATACCCAAACAACTCCAAATTCTTTAACTAGCAGTTAGCACTCCTGAAATCTCTTGACATAATAGAGAAGCAGAGACCCAAAGAGAGATATGCGGTTAAATAGCGCTGCCTCTGGTGGCGAAAGGAGATGCTAAGTTGTTCCACAAGGTTATTTTTCTCCCACAGGCGCAGGCCTCCCAAACATTGGAGCCGTCTACGAATTATTCTGACGCTAACTCCACAGCTCCGGACAGAAACACAATAGACGGGCGTGGTCTTACAATCATAAGCCAGTTCCTTTCTCCAGTCCTTCTGCCTATGTTCGCCTACGTGTTATGGGTTCTGCGGTCCTGATGAAACTCCCTGAACGGAGAAAAACCACACACTTCATCCCAGTGGCGAGTTTCTCCTCTTGCTCTAAGCAGGGTGTTTGACCTTCTAGTCGACTGCGTCCTCTGTGCCCCGGCGCCAGCTGTGTTCCTGACCCCAGAATAAATCAGGGCTGCACGGGGCCTGGCAGCGCTCCGCACACATTTCCTGTCGCGGCCTAAGGGAAGCTGTTGGCCGCTGGGCCCGCGAGGGGATTCTTGGCAGCTGGGGGGTCCGTCGGGAGCGAGGGCGGAGGGGAAGGGAGGGGAAATCGGGTTGGGGAAGCCAGCTGTAGAGGGCGGTGACCGCGCTCCAGAGACTGCTCCGCGTCCTCGAGCGGGACAGACCAAGTTGGGAGCAGCTCTGCGTGCGGGGCCTCAGAGAATGAGGCCAGCGTTCGCCCTGTGCCTCCTCTGGCAGGCGCTCTGGCTCGGGCCGGGCGGCGGCGAACACCCCACTGCTGACCGTGCTGGCTGCTCGGCCTCGGGGGCCTGCTACAGCCTGCACCACGCTACCATGAAGCGGCAGGCGGCCGAGGAGGCCTGCAACCTGCGAGGTGGGGCGCTCAGCACCGTGCGTGGGGGCGCCGAGCTGCGCGCTGTTCTCGCGCTCTTGCGGGCAGGCCCAGGGCCTGGAGGGGGCTCCAAAGACCTGCTGTTCTGGGTCGCACTGGAGCGCGGGCGTTCCCACTGCACCCTGGAGAACGAGCCTTTGCGGGGTTTCTCCTGGCTTTCCTCCGACGCCGGCGGGTTCGAAAGCGACACGCTGCAGTGGGTGGAGGAGCCCCAACGCTCGTGCACCGCGCGGAGATGCGCGGTACTCCAGGCCACCGGTGGGGTCGAACCCGCAGGCTGGAAGGAGATGCGATGCCACCTGCGCGCCAACGGCTACTTGTGCAAGTACCAGTTTGAGGTCTTGTGTCCTGCGCCGCGCCCCGGGGCCGCCTCTAACTTGAGCTATCGCGCGCCCTTCCAGCTGTACAGCGCCGCTCTGGACTTCAGTCCACCTGGGACCAAGGTGAGTGCGCTCTGCGGGGGACAGCTTCCGATCTCAGTTACTTGCATCGCGGACGAAATCGGCGCTCGCTGGGACAAACTATCCTCAGGGGATGTGTTGTGTCCCTGCCCCGGGAGGTACCTCCGTGCTGGCAAGTGCGCAGAGCTCCCTAACTGCCTAGACGACTTGGGAGGCTTTGCATGCGAATGTGCTACCGGCTTCGAGCTGGGGAAGGACGGCCGCTCTTGCGTGACCAGTGGGGAAGGACAGCCGACCCTTGGGGGGACCAGGGTGTCCACTAGGCTCCCGCCTGCCACTACAGCCAGCCCCGTGCAGCAGAGAACGTGGTCAATCAGGGTCGACGAGAAGCCGGGAGAGAGATCACTTATCCCTGAACAAGACAATTCAGTAACATCTATTCCTGAGATTCCGCGGTGGGGATCACAGAGCACGGTGTCTACCCTTCAAATGTCCCTTCAAGCCGAGTCAAAGGCCACCATCACCCCATCAGGGAGCGTGATTTCGAAGTTTAATTCTACGATTTCCTCTGCCACTCCTCAGGTTTTTGACACCTCCTCCGCCGTGGTCTTCATATTTGTGAGCACAGCAGTAGTAGTGTTGGTGATCTTGACCATGACAGTGCTGGGGCTTGTCAAGCTCTGCTTTCACAAGAGCCCCTCTTCCCAGCCAAGGAAGGAGTCTGTGGGCCCGCCGGGCCTGGAGGGTGATCCTGAGCCCGCTGCTTTGGGCTCCAGTTCTGCACATTGCACAAACAATGGGGTGAAGGTCGGGGACTGTGGTCTGCGGGACAGAGCAGAGGGTGCCTTGCTGGCCGAGTCCTCTCTTGGCTCTAGTGATGCATAGGGAAACAGGGGACATGGGAACTCCTGTGAACAGTTTTTCACTTTTGATGAAACAGGGAACCAAGAGAAACTTACTTGTGTAACTGACGATTTCTGAAGAAATCCCCCTTCCTCTAAATTCCCTCTAATCTACCGAGGAACTAAATCAGAACTCACACTCCTTCCCTGAAGATAGAGGAAGTGGAAGTGCCTTTAGGATGGTGATATTGGGGGACCAGGTTGTGCTGGGGAGAGATATTTTCTTATGTTTATTCTGGAGGATTTGGAGAAGTGATTGAACTTTTCAAGACATTGGAAACAAATAGAACACAATATAATTTACATTAAAAAATAATTTCTACCAAAATGGAAAGGAAATCTTCTGTGTTGTTCAGGCTGGGAGTATATTGGTTTGAAATCCCAGGGGGAAAAAAAAAATAAAAAAAAAAGAATAAGGATTGTTGATAACCCAGACTCAAATATCACTGGCGTCCTCCGGGAATAATTAGGAACAGCTGAGGGCATGCTGGGCGTAAGCAGCAAGAGTGCATTCTGCTCTTAGATTGAGGGAAAGATCCTTACGTTCCTGGAAGGAGACACGGATCTTTAAGAACTTGTAACTTTTCCCTTGGTTCTTTTATCCTTTGTTTTCAAAGTCACCGCTACTTGTGTGCTTTGCTATAAATCCAAAGTGTAGTGTTGCCAGAATTGCTGGCTCTAGAAGTAAATTATAGTTGACCACCAATTCAAGTGTTTACTTTATGTCCTTGCCCAAGGAAACACATGATTTGCGTTTTCCCCTTCCGTTGTTTGTGCTTTCCAATGTAATGACCTCCCCAAGCAAATAGCCCCCTCCTAAACATCAAGGTGCTCATCCTCATCTTCAATTATGGTGATGTTAATTCTCAATTAAAACGTTAATGCTAAGTATTGATTTGCAATCTTCTGGTTGCATCAAAAAAAAAAGTAAGCTGGGTTTCCTCCAAAGTTGCTAGGTTCTTGTGCATTTTTAAACCCATGGAAAAACTTGAATACCAAGCCATTTTCTTTTTCTCTTGATAAGAATTTGTGCCATAACAATACTTGTTCATCTTGCAATGATGATAATTTAACAAGTGTTTACATGGGCAAAGGCATGGTAAACAGTTCACCATAAGAAATAATAGTATAAGAAATAAGTGACGAATTTTTAGAAACCTATCATCTTGTTATAACTGGGGAGTGTTAGAACGTAATCTAAATGAAGCACTCCTATGAAAAATAATTAAGACATAATAAAAATCACTGTCTCGTGGAATCAAGGTCCCTAGAAGATATCCCACTTTTATTAGTATGCTGAGACTTTAAAACTAAGAGTATGGGGGTTGGTGCATACAGAGAGGCAGAGAAACAAGCTTAGTAACAGGAATAAAAACAAAAGAAGCTTACACTTTATTTTCACAGAATTATTTTAATGTTCTTGCATGTACAATGTATACAATGGAAAACAGACAATTAGTAAGTGACCAATTATAAAATATTACTAAAAAATTAAAACAGCTCAATCCATAAATTCATTTCCTAAGTATAAATATATATATTTAGTACTGTAACATTAAAAGAATAAAACAATAGGTAATTTGCCTCATATACTAAATATGTTTCTAAATAGTTACATTTAAATAAAATTACAGAAAAAATAGAATTAACAACATTCAAGGGAATTTTAGATATTACTTTACAAGTTAAATTAAAAATCAGGTAAGTACAGTAAATGGCTTGCCCATGTTCCCCAACCTGACTTGTCACATTATATCTCAGTTCATCTCAATTTTGGTGTTTTATCTTTCCTCTTCACATGACCTCTCAGTAGAGAAGGTAACAATTAGAGTAGGACATATGATGCTTTCTTTTGTAATTTGAAAAATAGCTTTATAACTGAGCTGAACTGTTGTGTGTGTGTGCACGTGTGTGTATACATAGTCATGCATTGCTTTACAATAGGGATACATTCTGAAAAATGTGTTTTGAGGCAATTTTGTCATTGTGTCTACATCATAGCACGTGCTTACAAAAACCTAGATGGTATAGCATGTTACAGCACTGAATATTGTAGGCAATTTTAACACAAATAATAATTTTCAAATAAGGTCGTATTCACAGGTACCAGGGGCTAATTTACACATGTTTTCGGAGGACACAATGCAATCCACAACAAGCATTCTACAATATTTTTCTTCTTATATTGTGCTTCTCAAATCCATATCTTTTATCTCAAGCTTCTCAAATCCATATCTTTTATCTTAAGCTATAGACCTATGTTTTTCCTCCTTTGAGAAGCTGCTATGTTAATTAATTGCCACTTAATATTTTGAAGAAATACTCTAGAAATAGGACTTTTCCCACTGAGTGAACTCTGAATCATGTCAAATAATAATTCCTGTGAGTGGGGCTTTTCCATGAAGCTCAGTGACAGGTCAAATAGTGATAATTCTGCGTGGATGGGGCTCTATTAAAGCTCCAAACCTGTTCTGCCCCTCCTAGTGGCTGCTTGGATGATGGTCTTTACAGCTACTATTTGCAATGCTGCTGCTTTTGAAGGCTTCTGCAGAGCTGGGCAATGGAAGATGAAACTAGGCCAAGTTAAAATACCATAAAGCTCACTATTCTTACCAAGATTTAGCTATTTTTCTTGAATAAACACTTTTTGGGCTATTGCAAGTCTTTGGTTAATTTTAAGAGTACCAAAAGATATGATTTAGACAATTTTTTCCAGGTTCCTCACTGCTTTTAAGGAGGAGCAGATTTTTCAGAGAAACTTACTTTGCCATCTGGAAGTACCACCCATGTGTTGCATTTAGATGTCTTTGTAGTCTTCTTCAGTTTGGAAGAGTTCCCCAGTCATTCCTTGACTTCCATGACATCAGCAGTTTTTAAGATTATTGGACAGATTTACTTTGTAGCATGTTCTTAATTAGGGTTTGTTTTTCATCCAGGTGGCCCATCTTTGGATGGAATATTATAGAAGTGATGCTTTGTTTCCCTTGCTTTTGCTTCTTAGCAGTTGGCATGTGATTTCAAATTGTCACATTATTTGTGATGTCAACTTTGATCATTCAATTAAGGTGGTGTTTGCCAGACTTCTCAACTCTAAATTCTTCCTTCTTAATTAATAAGTGTTTTGTGGGGAGGTAATTTGAGACTGTGTAAATACACGGTTCCTTATGAAACTTTCAATATCTTACTTGTTTCAGTATATATTTATGAACTTCTATTTTATTCAAAAAGTTACCTTCATTATTTACTTTGATATTTAAATTATCTCAGATTTAGGCAGTGTGATCCCCTTCAGGTTGTCTCCTGTGTCCTTCTGACAGGCTCCCAACCTTCTTGGATAGTTCTTTGCTTTCCGGCACAAGAAAATAGCCCAGACTCATTTTGTACTTCTGCTCAAGTCCAAGAAGCTACAGTTAATTTTAGGGAAAAATGGTCATCAGAAAACATGATCTGTGCCCTAGATATACTCATTGCTTTTATGTTATTGTTGTTACTAGGTGTCTTCTCAACAGAGTTAGGAAATGTATGTTTGTGTTTGTGTATGTGTGTGCATAAATATACATAAACCTACAATATACACACACATATACATGTGTGTTTATACCTACATTTTTCCTAAATCTATCTTATCTATTCATACTTCCATTTGTATTGAAAACCATAACTCACACCAATATCTCTAATTCCAATCCAACACCATAGGATTTAGTCTTCTCATCCCACTTGGTCTCTGTTGCTCTGCTCTTGGCTGCCATCCATTGAAGATGTCCTCTTCAAATCACTTGGATTCTAATCCCAAACAGCTGCCTGTTACTAGCAGCCCCGCCTTTGTGAAAGTTCTCTTCTTCCTGCTTAGGCTCAGACACTAAACTGGGCCACCATCTGGGCCACTCTCTACACACCACTCAGACTCTATAACATTTTGCTCTTGGGCATGATGCCTCCCCATTCTACTGGCATGGACACTGACCCTCCTTGGTCCCACTTAATGATGTTTTGGCTAAATTGTTTCAAATGGGAAAGGAAGGGAAGACGAAGAGATATTAAATTCTTATCACAAGTTATGCTTACCCGTCTATACATATCCATGTACTTTTAAAAAACTGTCTTTAAAAAAATAACTTTCTAGAACAACCTGTTCCCTTCACTTCATCTGGAAAACCCCCATTATTTTTCAGGTGTAAGATTGAATATTATTTTACCTGAAAGGTGTTTCCAAAGTCTTAACTCCAGAATAGGATCTAATGGTCACATATCCTATCATCTCAGTGTATGGCACATAGGAGGTTTTATGTATATGTGTGTGTATGTTTTAATCACCCTGTTTAACCTATATCTTAAATTTCTAGTGATTATTTAGAAGGATCGAATGCAGGTTCTTATGCCACCTTAAATGCAATAGAAAGAATGTGTCTTACTATAGGTTCACTATTTAGAGGTTTCTAAAAATTAATTGATTCCAGTATCTCTTTATTGCCAAAAAGGAAAAAAATCATCAAGTTAAAAATAAAGCCTTGTTTTGGCAGATATTTGCAAAAATATAACTGATTTGATGAAATATCTTCACTTATAGGTCAAGTTCTTTTAGTTAGCTAGAGATATATTTAGCAGCTCATTTCCATTGGAGGACACCTTGTGAGGTTATGCTGCTTAGTGTTAAATATTTTACACGAAACTATTGGCATGTCTCCTCAGCCAAACTGAGTGATTATTAATTCATGAGTAGAAAATTATCAGAGTTGTATATACTTTAAGGGTATATGTAATATTTTGATACATGTATGCTATGTGTAACTATTAAATCAGGGTGACTGGGATATTCATCACCTCAAATGTTTATCTTTTATTTGTGTTCATCCCACTCTTCCCCTTTCCCTTCTTAGCCTCTGGTAACCACCGTTCTACCCTCTACCTTCATGAGATATACTTTTTTTAGCTCTCACATGTGAGTGAGAACATGTGATATTTGTGTTTCTGCACCTGGCTTATTTCACTTAACATAATGACCTCCAGTCTCAGCCATGTTGCTGCAAATGACAGCATTGCATTCTTTTGATGCCTGAATTCTATTCCATTGTGAATTTGTACAACATTTTCTTTATCCATTCATCCATTGATGGACACTTATCATCATCTTGAGGTTATGCTAAGTGAAATAAGCCAGTCACAAATGAACAAATGCTGTATTATTCCACTTACATGAAGTATAAGTGATTTCCTATCTTGGCTGTTATGAATAGTGCAGCAATAAACATGAAAATGCAGATATCTCTTCAATGTATTAATTTTCTTTCTTTTGGATGCATAGCCAGCAGTGGGATTGCTGGATTACATGGTAGTTCTATTTTTAGTTTTTAAAAGAAACTCTATACTGTTTTCCATAATGGCTGTACCAATTTCCATGCCTGTCAACAATGTACAAATGTTCCCTTTTC